TCCTGCTGATTAACCGAACAGACTGAACTCTTGGATTCCCTTTCAGTAAGGTGTATTTGTATTTTCCAGTTCTTCCCAATACATCCACAGGGGTCTGCTTTGAATCTTTAGATGCCGTGTGCAAATTTTGTTTTAAATAATTTTTATACCAAAGTATCTGTGTTTACAGTTTTGTGTGAACACATTTTATTATAAGAAATAAATATAAAGTGTGGAAATAGAAACAGGCTCTCCAATCACTTACAGTGTCAGCTGCATGGCCAAAGGTAGCAGTATCTTTTTTTCATGTGCCACTGGGACTTAAGGTATAAAACAGATGAAATTAAAAAACAGTGAACAAAGACACCTCACTTAATTACTCTCTTGCAGACTTCAGGCTATGATTTTCTCGCTTGGGCTCCTGCAGTTTTAAAGAAAACTGAATAGGAATTATACAAGGTCAGCACTTTTATCTAAAGTTATACAGTGACATCCTAGCACTATGAACTTGCTGTGGAAGGATTAAAAGTATGTTGCTGGTTCAACATTTCTTCTTAACCGAATAAAAGGCATCAAAACTTTGTTTTGGACTCTACCAGTACAAAATTGCCATGTTCAAAGAACAGGATAAATCCAAATTCATTGTGATCCATTGGATTATGACATGAGTATGGGGAAGGACCAATATCCCAAAACATCAGTAAATACAGGATGCAGGATGGGAATGATAGGATCAGGAGTGGACTGCAGCTACAGTGTGAAATATTCCCTGTCCAGGGAACAGCTGAGAATGCAGTATCGATTTACATGTTTCTGGGCCAAGAAGATTTCCACCATCTTTTTGTTTTCACCTTCCTTTTATAGGTGAAGTCAAATGTGAGGCACCAAATAACAAACTGGATAAGTTCACAGGAACTCTTACTCTTCGAGGAGAGAAGTATGCCCTGGACAATGAGAAGATGTTGCTGAGGGGCTGTACGATTAGGAACACAGAGTGGTGCTTTGGTCTTGTTATTTATGCCGGTAGGTAGAAAAAATGACATGTGAATTGCAGAGCACAGCAGCACCAGCATGGAAGCACAAAGGAACCGAGAATTTTCCTCTTTGGAAAACACATTTCTACCACATACAAGAACAAAAGCAGAACAATACATGAGATCCCTTGGCTTAACTCTAGGCTGGAAATGATGCATATCACAGGGGATTTTAAACTGAGATTTTTTATAAGAGGAAACTGCTACATTACAACATCCAATTCCACCTTGATTAAGTGCTTTAGTAAGCAGAAGTAGTCTTTTATTTCAGAAATGCATGCAGCAAAGTACACGAGAGAAGTCTTGATCAATCAATAAGAAAGAATATAAGAATTAAATCTCTTTAAGAATTCAAGCTGAATTAAACCTGCCTTTACTGGCCCACACTGGGCCAATCATAGTCTTTCTCTTACCAGGCTTGTTCAACATTTTTCACTCTTAATTGTATTTGATTAAAAATTCTACATAATTTCTATGTGATTTTAATCCAAATTGGAATATCAGGGGCATCAATAATATTAATGTAGACCATTAGACCTACGCTTTTTAGGAGCATAGACCTTCTATTGTTTCCACACTGCTGTAGACATGTGAGATGATGTATAACATGTCACTAATAACAGAGCAGTATCAGGTATTCTGTGAAAAGTAATTAAACCTGAAAGGGAGGATTGACTGTTGAAAGAAGAGAGCAGGATCAAAATCCAGAAATAATGGCTTTATATGACTCTCTCCATATAATCTAAGGCAAGTGACTTAACCTTTTTCTGCTTAGGTTTCCCACCAGCACTGTAAACTGTATATACCTGCCTTCAAGAAAGCTGTGATGGGTATTTATGCTGTAAAGCACAGTGGGGCCTCAGAGGGAATCAGCTTTAGAACAGATAAGTTTATTACTAAAATTCACGAGTGTGTTTCATCTCCAGGGCCAGACACCAAACTAATGCAGAACAGTGGAAAAACAACTTTTAAACGGACGAGCATTGATCGGCTCATGAATGTCCTTGTGTTGGTGGTAAGTCTGATTAATGTGTCTTCCTTTCTTCTGATGTATTCATCATTTCCAGATGCTCCACCTCTTTGTCCACACAAATGAGGGGGTATCAGAAGTGACTAATGATAACAAGAAAAATTGTGTAATAATTTATTAGAAGCCTGAGTTCTGCAGCACCTCTGCCAGCCTATCTTGCAAACCAAGGCCATTACATTTACAGCATTAAGGACCTTTCTTCTGAGCTTTTCATTTGCTCTGCTCTCCCTTGCTCTGCATTTTTTTGTGAGAATCACTTTGAAGCCTGCAAATGCCTTTTTTCCCTAGTAATTTTGTCATTTTCTATTTAAATAAATGTTAGCAGTTGTCCCTCTTCTTCTTGATTTCTTGGCATTTCTGGTGATATCTGCATAGGACTTGGTAATTGAGTTTGTTAACTTACATGATGCCAGCTTCTGACTTAACACATTAGGGTAAAATGTCGGACATAGTCTCATTAATACTCGGAAACTGGTAGTTTTAGCAGCTGGGAAATTTGAGAACACTAATCTTACAGAGCAGACACTCTCCTCAAATTAGAAGACATGATTTGAGGCTTAAGCTTGGCAGTGGTTTTAACAAAAGGCAAACACTTCCAGGCAGAGGTAGTGATTCTATTACAGAGACTCTCCCAAGATTTTACTGCTTGAGTTCAAAGCCACTCAGAAGGGACTATTTTGGTTGCTACTGCCAGTCTGCAGAGACATACACTCTAACACTGTTTTACTCAATGTTGCTTGAAGAAAGGCTCTTTAGTTTCAGGCTTTTATTTTCCTTTGGATGCCAAGTGTTCCATGCTTTTTCATGCATGCTGCACCACCTTCAGTTTATGACACTGGGAAGGGCTGGCCCCTCTTGTGGTCACCAATTCCCAGCAGTGCCCACTGTTCCCTCTTCTTCCCCCCTGCCCTTGCTCTCCAGCACAACCTGCAAGCCAGGATGGGGTCAGGATCCATCCCCAGGCACTGGAGCCAGCCCTGGAGAAGGCGTCCAACAGCAACCTGCCCATCACAGCAAGGCTGCCCTGAGCTCTCGCTGCCCTGCATGACTTCATGCCTCCTCGGCACTGGGGCTTACAGCACAAACATCTCCAAGACTGCCCCACTCTCCAACCTTGCCACTTCATCCCAGCCCCTGTCCTCCTGCTTTTTTTAACTCAGGATCCCAAAAGCTCTTTAGTTCATCCCAGGGATGGGAGATGTTAAAGAGCATGTTGTGCTTCTGTAAGACTGAAATAGTACCAAAGCAGCAGCAGCTAGGCTGACTCCCAGAGCTGTGAAGCAGTGTTCTGAACATCTGTATGTGTGTATTTGCTGTAAGGCAGTGCCACAGCACAGAGAGCCACTCCCAGGGTTATCTTCAAGCCCTCTTGAGTCCTTGCTTCATGTACAGTAAGGACATGCTCTTGACTTTAGTAACCTTACACCAATCTCTGCCAAGTAAAAATCTTGATTACTATCAGCAGCTTGGTTTCCTCAGTGTTTTCTTCCCTCACACTTAAGGGGACAGCAAATTCAAGCAAGGTTTGGGCCTCTTACATTCAAAATTTTGCAAGCATTTGAAAAACTTCCCATTTTCTTAGGTGATCTGCTATGCTATAGCTGGAAAGGATGAGAGGCTGTGAGGGATCCACAGGGCACAGAGATGGAGCAGAAAAAACCTGAATACGGAACTCAAGAATTTAGCGTTCAATTAAGATTTGCCAAATCTCCTTTCACAAGTCAAGGGTCCCACCCAGAGATTTCAGTCTGTTTGGCCTCTCTTCATGAACGCAAACAAGATGAATTTACCTCCTGGCTCCGTTTTAAAAAGCTGAGCAAGTTGCAGTTGATTGCATCAGCCTCTGCCTCAGTTCTTGGGCACTGATGGAGCCAAGGGAGTGTTTTTCTCCTCCACACATTTTTAAGGCACCTAACATTTTGGTGTCTAAGTAAAGCTCTGTCCTACCCTAAGCACCAGGCTCTTTGCATACCCAAGGGAATGTGGCATCAGGTCCTTCCAGCTCACCGGGTGGTCGAAGGTTACAAAGCGTGGTCGTAAAAAGAGGCAGTATATTGCTCTCTTGGGTTTGGAAATACAAAGCAGCCACAACTTGCTATAAATAGTTCATTTTAAGTGTAATGAAACTTGTTCCATGTTAACACTGGCAAAGCTATTTCATGTTTAATTGTCCATAAAACTGCCAGGCACAAAGCAGTGTTTAAGCAGGGCTTGCCATTGGAGTCCTGGTTATATGTTGCACTGGTCTGTCCCAACACGGGTTAATCAGGAGTGAACCTTTCCAGATGGCAACCATCGCTGTTTTTTCACATTTGGGAGTATTTCTCAGGGATCTGAGAGAGAAGTGAATGTTCCTGTGCTGGGGATGCACCCACCAGCTCCAGGAATGCTTCTTCCTCCAAAACTTGCTTTTTAGCAGTTTGGGGTAAGCATGTTTTCAGAGAAATAAGGCTGTCACCTTCATCTCTTAAACAACTTATTGCTTCAAATCCTGGAGCAGAACTCAAACTGCCAATAAAGAAGCCAAGACAGTTTGAATTCACAGTCCAACAGGAAATGTTTGTCAAAAGTCACTTCCTCTTTACAAAAGTCCTACTCAGTCCTGCAGAAGATCTCTCGCAGGCAGTGCATGGGCAGGACCCAGAGAGGGAGGATATTCATGCTGGGAAGCATCGTGATCATGCACAAGCCTACTATCAGGGTTTTTTCACATCCTTCTCTTGCAGCGCTGTGGTTACAATTATAAGACCCTGCACACAGTTGTTTCTCTGCACAGAAATTAATCTCTGGGGCCGCTGTTAATGGCTTGGCCTTTTGCATTTGTCTCATAGCAAACAGCATGTTAGTGAGCTTTGTGTAAGCATAAGTATTGCACACAAGTTGAGCTGTTAGGGACAAGACCATTGATATGCAAAATGCACATAAAGCAAAATGTACATAAAGCAAGTGTAGTCATAGACAAGAGCTGCTGTGATATGGGAAAGTTCAGCTTCTGTCTTGCCCTGTGTGTGTTTCTGTTGCTGAATCATACATTGGATTTCCTACATGGATTGTGATATTCTACAAACTGACAATTTTTAACCTGTGGGGCAGCGAGGAATCATTCAGGGTACAGCAGCAAGATAGAAGAGCCAGCTGGCTCTTTGAATTGATTTATTTTACAACAGGCAAGGTCTGCAGAGAGAAGTAATATCTTTACTTGACCAACAGAAATATCTATAAAAATAGACAGGCTTGTCTATTTTTTCCATCTATGTCTGTTGGTTTAGTAAAGGACATTACCTGTCCCTGGGTTGTGCCTCTCATATATCCTTAAGTCCTGATGATTACATTAGCACCAATTGAAGTCTTTTTTTACTGCTGGTCAGAGACGTTTAAAAACACTGCACCACATTCCCTACAAGCAAGCACTATTGTCTCCATTTCACAAGTGGACTAATTTATTGGGCCTCCCACAATTAAATAGAAAAGCTACTACTGATGTGGGAAATAAATGTGTGCCCTGAAACTCAGCCCAACACCTTTACTTACTGCGGTCCCCTTTTAGCAGCTTCTTGGTACTAAAATTAAAGTTGGACGTATGTGAACTTTTCATTAAGTGATTCAAATCACTCCACAAAAGTATCCTTCCTCCTCTTATAGATTACCTCAGGAATACAACTATCAGCTTTACCAGCCATGTTTCTATGTTTGTACCTCAATTATTGTTTTTTAAAAAGGTTGATTACTGTTACAATGTGATTGTTACTGGGTGGCTTTATGCATAATGGCCCAGCTTACTGATATTTCCTCCTTAATGACCATACTTGCAAGAGATTATTTTTAATTGCTCCATTGTGCAGCCTGATGATTCCGTATCTTCGCATTTTTATGAGAGTGTTGGTTGTTTTAAGTCAAATATTTGGAGAAGTCCATATCAACACAACTGGTTTTATTACCATTTGTCCAAGAATGATGTCAAGCTAACTTCAGTTTATCTTTCCCTTGATCACCATTTCTACCTTTCAAATATTGGAATTGTATTAGCAGATTTTCAGTATGGTGGAGCTTCCCAGTTTTCAAAGCATTGTTAAAAATTAACCTTACTGGCTAAGAGAATTTCTCAGCTAGTTCCTCTAAGCTTTCATCTTTAAATTACCTGGACACACTGGATTGAAAATGTTTATTATTAGCAGATAGAACCACATAGTGTTGTTCCTTGTCACAGAAGGTAATCTGTCTTTTCCATCTGCCACATCATATGGGATAGATACTTCCTTCTCCTTCCTTACTCCTTCATTCTTGGAGGACTGTCTGTTGAACATGTCTGCTTTTTCCACGCCTGTTCATGAGTTTACTGTTTTCTTTTCTTGATATTTTATATGACTATTAGGTATTCATAGTTCTACAGTTCTTTGCAGTTTATATTAATTTCTGTTAACTTCCCTTCTTCCCCTTCTTTTTGTATTCTTTTCCAAATAATTGTATTGCTATGTTCTTTTCTTCTTTTAATCAAAAATGGTTTATGACCTATGTAATGTTTTTGAGTCTATTAAATGGTGCTCCAGAGCAAGTCCCAGTTTTCACTAAGGTGTCCCACTTTGAAATTCTCTTCCCAGTTACTCTTCCCCTGGTTGCTTTAGCATTCAGGAAATAGGCTTCTCTGAAGTCCAAGGATACACATCACTGGTTAGTGTTGCTTTTTGTTTGCTCAAAGGAAATGTAGTCAGATTGTGGTAGCAGGTACCAAGGCAACCATTAGTTCTGAGTCAGTGATTAACTCTCCTTTAACCATCAGAATGATATCCAGTGCTGAATTCCAACCTGCACAGTGCTGGATTTTCTGTGTTACAAATTAGCTTTAGTAGTTTTTGAGAAATGGTAAGGAAAACTATGATACATCCAGCAAACGGCCATGTAAAGTCCTCCAGGCAGTTTCTATTCCCATGTATGCAGCCAGATGTTTGAGGACTCGCAGCTCAACTCACCTCTAACAAGATTTGATGCAGCCAGCTGCCCATGAGCACCCTGGTTTAGGTGTCTGCTTGGGATTTAAATCCCCAGCTGTTTGAGGTCTTACGATTCCAAATTGCCAGACTCTGCGCTCTGTAATTTTGTCCTTGAAGTAGAAGTGTCATAACCTTGCTGGTTTTCCTCCTTCACCCCTAGGAACATTTTCCTGTGGTTCAGGCTGTCCAACCCAATCTCATTAGGGTCTTCTGATTAACCTGCACATAATAAATTCCTTGTTTCTAAAATGCAATATTTTGGGGTTTTTTTGCAGATCTTTGCATTTTTAGCACTGATGTGTCTTATCCTAGCCATTGGCAATGGCATCTGGGAGTATGATAAGGGCTACTACTTCCAGGTCTATCTGCCCTGGGCAGAAGGCGTCAACTCTGCCTCCTACTCCGGCTTCCTCATGTTCTGGTCATACGTGATCATTCTAAACACAGTGGTGCCAATTTCACTCTACGTCAGGTACGTGCCAGAACCTCTTTTCATGTTTCATCTTAGGAGAGGTTTAACTTTTGCCTTAGACAGGGGCAGCATTTTCCTTAGATATAAATGCAACCCCTTTGTGGACGATCACACACAACCACAGCAATGCTTTTCTTATTTCTGCTGCCTTCAGAGGTCTTTGTCAGGCTTGGAGTGGGGCCAGCACTGAGCCCCGGAAGAGGAGAGGATGATTTTGCAGTCAAAGGGGAGGTGTAAGTGTAGGATGCTATTGGAGTAAGGCTGGAAGCCTGCTACGGTTAGCATCTTGCTTGCTCCCACTTGCACTGCCCATCAAACAAAGTGAATGGCATGTTCTTTGAGGTGGCTGTAGGAATCATGTGAGGAGTAGATTGCCAGGTAAGTAGGTGTAATCAAGTTGAGGATCCATAGTACTTGGTGATATATCAGCAGAGTGAATGTCGCCAGTTCCCAGAGAATGTAGTGCTATGTTATTTACTGCAGATAGACAAGCAGGGCTAAAGAGTAGGCAATGTGTCCCTGGCGCTCTCAAAACCCTGCAGTTGGAGTGCAGACTGAGCAAGTCTGTATAGTTTATCATTGCACCTAACTCTTCAGACAGTTTTGCTACTGAGACTCTCTTTTGTGTTGGTAAATATAAAGAATTAATCCTGTTCCTGTCCAGTATGTCACACCAGCAACAAAATGGAAATTCATGTCATTTGTGAGCTGATACGGCTCCTTGGTTGTACTGAGTTACACAATGACTCGCCTGTTGTGGAGCTCTGGGTTGTATGAGCCGTGGCTGTGTTCATCCCCCTGCACTGGGCTCAGCCCAGACCAGAGCCCTGCTCTAAACCATCCCCATCTGAGCACCACTCCCAAAACTGCACCAACTGAAACCCAGTTGCTTTTCAGTCTCAAAACTTCTGAAACTTTTCAAATACATTTATAAGATGTTGTTTTATAAATAAAGAAAAGGAATTTGCTATAAACCTAACACATCATTTCAGCAGGACTTGCTTCAGTATTACTTAATACAGACCATTTAAGGACAACCTGATGAGTATACTCTGTCATTACCTTCAACGTTGTCGTCTAATTGCAATTGCTAATGGTGGTGCTCAAGATAAAGATCTTGTCCCTTAAACTAATGAATATTCCATCACCTTTTCTTTCTGTTTCACCAGTGTGGAGATTATACGCTTGGGTAACAGTTTCTACATTGACTGGGACCGTAAAATGTATTATCCGCTGAATGACACACCGGCTCAGGCCCGTACTACTACACTCAATGAAGAGCTGGGGCAGATCAAGTATATCTTCTCAGACAAAACAGGAACTCTCACTCAGAACATCATGTGTTTCAACAAATGTTCCATCAATGGCAAATCCTACGGTATGTTATCTATCTGTCTTATTCTCTGAGTTTTATTCCATTGTATGCCTCTTGGTCCACAGAGATTAAACATGATTATCAGAAAAGAGTACCTTGTAAGAAGCTGCAGTGATCAAGTGCAGGGCTGTTCATCAGGGATGCCTGGACAGCCCTGATTATAACATTTGCATATCTTAATATCATTTTCCTGTCCCTTGTTTCCCCTTTTTGCCACCCTTTTACCTCTGTTTTTCTGCCCCAGTATCATCCCAACTAAAGAACCTGCACCTTATTACTTTTTCCTCATGGGTCACAGTTTTACTACATCTGTACTCAAATTTTCTGATATCACTACCTAGGTGATCTCAGCTTTTTATGGTATTATTGACATGGTTACCCAGGTATTGCTAACCCTGCAAAACATAACACATAATTCACATAACTAACTCTCTCTTAACTACTTGTGAAATCATCCATCCCTCATGGGGTTATCTGCAAATTTCGTCAACTTCTCACACTGTTATCTCTCACATTCAGCAATTTCTCATGTCATGAGTAGCCATTTTCCACATCCTGTTCAGGTAGCTGAGCCTTCGGTTGGCACCTAGTCAATGGCTTGGTCATTTGTCTTCAACCCTGACATACTTCACCTACCAGAAGGGAAAAGAGTTTATAGGGAATTGGAAAAAATGGGAAACAAAAGTTGTTAATTCTGTCAGATCCTAACAGTCATTGACTTAAAAGTCTTGTTCATTGTATGGCCCCTGGCAGTTTTCTTCATACTGCTCAAGAGGTGCTAACAATTCACAAACTGACTAATTGATTAGCATCATTAGATTCCCCCAGAGAAATTGTGTCACCGCTTATTCATAGATTGATGCTTGTTTTGCCTGTGTCAGACCTGCTGATGGACTAGTGTGCCAGAAAGCTTGTCTTTTTTTCTCAGTGCTATCAGCTGGCCTAATAAAAGAAGTTACTTCTTCTTGTAAATCTTGTTTTGTATATATTTGGAGACCACCATATCTCAAACAGTGCTACTATGCTAGCCAATGTTAGTGCTGCTAAACAGTTTGAAAAATACTCAGTCTGTTCATTCATGTATCCTTAGTTGACTTTTCCAAAGTGGATGTCACTACTAACATAGATATAGCATGTGGGTTCAAGAAATGAATGGGAAATATGCAGAAAGCAAGCAGACAGCCTATTGCCTATAGTTTTCTAAATGCTTATCTTCTTCCTAGGAATGTGCTTTTTTGGATTTGCTGCTCAGGGGCATTTGGGAAAGCCACGCCAGAAAGGATGAATTAGTTCTGTTGCTAGGGAAGGTACTCCAGAGGCTTAAGCTTCCCATTGGAAGAAGGTGTCCAAAAGCCTCTCAGTTCCATTCCCCAGGGGATCAACTGATGTGCACTTCTCAGGAGAGATGACTTCTGAGTTTCTTCTACACCCTCAGGGCTTTTGTGAGGGAGTACCAGTACCTATAATTGGCTTTAGTCACAGTTGAGGTTGCTGGTGCAGGTATGGATCTATCATTCATGTAATTCGCAGTATTTCAGTCTTATTTCAATAAAGTGTTGAATCTGGCTGGACTGGGCACAGTCCAGAACTTCCAAGTGAAATTTTTCTTCTGACAGAAGAAGTTTCAATAGTGATTCCTGGAGATGAGATGTCTTCCATTTCTGTGACCAGATCATCAGTTCAGGGAAAAATGAATAGAGCAGCCTTGCTACCTAGATGTGGGAAGAATGGGCTTTGACAACTCCTTCTCTGTGGTTGTCCAGGGACTGTTGCAAACCCAATAGGATCCAGGAGCTGGATTTTGTCTCACATTCCAAAGGGAAGGTACAAGAGAAGTCATCCCCTGAAAGCACCTTTGTTTCCTACCTAGCACTACGTCCTTTCTGGGTTCAGCTTGAGCCAAGTCATCTTTACCCAAATGCCAATCATTTTTATAGCAACTGCTTTGTGTTTCAAGCATCTGCCAGTCTCTGGATTTTGTCATGGATTACAACAGAAACTGATTGATATGAATCATCAGTCTCCAGTGCCCATGTCAAGATATTTATGCTTACTGAAACTTTTAAATTAGATACTAGCTTCAAAACACTTTAACCTGTTTTTGTGGTAGAGAAGCTCAGAGACTGCACTTATCTGGAGTTTGTGGCTATAACCTCAGTCTGTCTTGCTTGCAGGTGATGTGTATGATATGTCTGGGCAAAGGATAGAAATAAATGAGGTAAGTGCTCAAGTGCTATCAGGATCTGTGCTTTCAGTGAACCTGCCTGCCTAAGTGCTGATGGACACAACTCACCCAGGCATTGCTCACGCTGTTGACCCTGCAACAGCTGATGCTCTTGACCCTGACAACAGGGATGTGTGTTCTTGTGGATGTCAGAGGATTGCCAGAGTTGCATTCCCTTCCAGTAAGCCTAGTTTAACCTGCAGGTCGGATAGCCTGAGTGCCCACTGTTCCCTCAGCTTCACATGACATCCCAGTGCATGCACAGCTCCTCTTGAATACTTGGCCATTGAAGTTTGTTGGAAACTTGGACATTGGTGAATTTTGTTATCTTTGGCAGTTAATTAAAGCTTTGGTGGGAAATCAGTGAGTTCAGTTCATATCAATTACAAGGTCATTGTCAAATTCTCCTGATGTCTGGACGTTGGAAAGTGTGAAAATGGGTGAATTCTCCATTTCTCTCTAGCCTCTGCTTGCTGGTACAAATGCATATGTCTTGGATTTCTAAAATGTCTGAAAACTGCATGCAGTAATCCAAGTAACAAGCAGCCAGATGATGATGAAAATCTCACTCCTCGTTCCAATGATTCATTTCCAGGCCATTTAAAACTTAAATTACCCCATGAACTTGGCTATTTGTGCCGGTGCTGTGCCTCCAGGCTGCCCTCGCTCAGGCAGCAAAATGCAAAGGGCTGACTTGCTTGGGGAGACATGCTGGTCTCCTGCCAACTGGCTACCTGGCAGCTCCTCCTGCCCTTGACACTCACCAGAGCAGAGTCCTGCTGCCCACACATCCACAGTGTTGCAGTGCCTGGACCTTGCTGTGCAGATGAGTGTGTGTGGGGGGTGGGTCTGTGCTCTTGTGGTTAGTGCTAAATGTCAGCTTGCAGAGGTCAAAAGGATGACTCCTATCCTGGAAACTCTGAGCTCATTGGGAACGGGGCGGGAGTCAGACTTGTCCCAGGCAGGCTTGGCAGTGCATTCCTCCATGACACATCATGCTGTGAGCTTCTGGCCATTTTTCCAGTACATTCCCCTCTGCTTGGGGCTCCTTGTTTTTAGACAAAATGAGCAGTGCCTGTGGAGTTGAACCTTTACATCACTTGTCTGTCATCTTTTTTCCATATCAGGATTTTTTCTTGCTTTGGGAGAATAGGGTGTAGAACGCAGCCTTTTGAATTGTTTTAAATTGGGCTTCCACATTGCCCTATCACAGGCAGCCATTGACATCAGAAGCATGATGCCTTCAAGCAGGCATGTGTTGAAGGCAGGCAGTTCTTTGCTATAGAAATCCTTTGGTGGGGATCCTGTAGGAGCATTTGCTGTCATACAGAGAGACATCTTTAGCTAATAAGGTTCTCAGCCTGAGTGCTGCTCTGAAAGGCACCTTAAGTGCCTGTCCTCTCCTCTGATTCAGTAGCTTCCATGACCTCCAACTTACTTAGACTCACCAATCTCTGTTATGAACAGCCCTGCAGGGGAGGGCCCTTTTTAAATGTAAGGAAGATAGAGGGGCTGTGATGGGCAGGCATTGGTGTAGAGGCATATGAGAGCTCCATAAATAACACTGAGCCATATTTTTGCAGAACACAGAGAAAGTTGATTTCTCATACAACCAGTTAGCCGACCCGAAGTTTTCCTTCTATGACCACAGCCTGGTTGAAGCTGTGAAACTGAGTGATGGCCCAACGCACAGATTCTTCCGGCTGCTCTCACTTTGTCACACAGTGATGCCAGAAGAGAAGAAGGAAGGTGAGGACTGGTCAAGGCACCAGACTGAGTGATTATGTTCACCCTGCACCACAGTATGTCTTCTCTCCACAGAAGCTGTTATTGGTCCTTTTGGCTCCCTGGTGATTTTCTGTAGTATATGGCTACACGTAAATCAATATCTTTGGAGATGCCACATGGGAAGAGCAAGGACCAGGGCCTCCAATCCCTGTGTGTTCCTGTGGTGGAGCTGACACTACTGCAAACACCACATCTCTGGAGTGCGGAAACTGCAGGTGCCACAGCTTCCCTGAGGTGGCAGGTGGCTTTCCCCACTCTTTCTCTTCTCTGCACCAAGTCCCATATAACAAAGTGCATAGAGCACCTACCGACTGGAGACTCATTAGCTCCACTCATCCAATGTTCCCGCAGGTACTGGGTCAGTCTTGTCAAATCCAAGACAGGGCGAAAATGGTGCTTTAAAGGCTAGAACCATTAATTGACACATATAAGGTGAAAACACTGATAAGAAAAATACATGCAGATGTAACTAGAAGGGGTTAACCCAAGGTTAACCCAAGTCTCTCTGGACTCCAAAGAGAGTGAAGACCCCAAAAGAGTCTAGGAGGTCTCTTGCACTGGCCCGGTTGATGGGACTTGATGGAGACATGTGGACATAAGGTGCTTTTTAGTGCTGCACCTCTGGGGATAGACAGAAAAGCAAAGGGTTAACTGCTTTATAATGTCTTTGATTTTCTATTTGTTTAGGCTCAGAAACTAGGTAGAAGCCACATTACATTTTTTTTCTTCCATGTCAGGTAACTTGGTGTATCAGGCCCAATCTCCTGATGAGGGAGCCCTTGTCACTGCTGCCAGAAACTTTGGATTTGTGTTCCGGGCTCGCACACCAGAGACCATCACCGTTGTGGAAATGGGAGAAACAAAAATATACAAACTCCTGGCTATTCTTGATTTCAACAATGTTCGCAAGCGAATGTCTGTTATTGGTATGTTCCCTTTGCACCCTTCTTTCCTTCCTGATTTTTTAGGCTCTCAAGTTGGCCCTCATTCTGCTGTGATGCCTTTTCCTAGGAGATCTCCTTTGCAATGCTTTCTGAATAACATTTACTTCTGAACGCTTGAGATGGACTGCCTTGACTTTTCAATTACACACCAACAGTGCTAGCTAAATACTTAACTTTGGCAGGCGGGAGAACATCTTAACACCTGGACCACAATGATGAAGCAGACTCCTGAAGACACTAAGCTTTTTACATATCTTACTTCCCTCATGACAATGCAGAAAAGGCCTTCCTTCTAATGAGCTTTAAAATTGACAGCAAAATCCAAGCAAGTGGGAAAGGAGAAAGCAAGGACAAGTAGAGAAACCCACTGTCCTACAAGCAAAATGGAGAAATGATTCAAGAAACCTCGTGTAGCCTTTATTAACCCTCCAACATCCTCAGATATTTCAGGAATTGGAATATCATAACTGTAGTGAGAGAGCAGTAGTACCTTTACTGGTAGGAGCAATAGGAGCAGCAGGACCAGTTCCCTAAGAACAAATTGCTCTTGACTTTTGAATGCAGATGTCCTGCCTGTCCTGCCTGCTGTCTGTCGGAACCACATAATCCAACAGATCATCTGCTCAGACCAATGCAATCCGGGTACAGTTGCCTGTGCTGCTACTGCTAAGGTGGAGAGTATTTGCATTATCTTCTTTTCTAAGCAAAGCTTGTCTTGATTCCTGCGAGTTTGCCAAAACTTGGTGGAGTCTGGACACCTCTAAAAACCCTTCTTTGTTTTGATGGAAGTGCTGTAAATCCCAAGTGCCTCAGCCTGGGATTTGTAGCATTTCTTTTTCTCTTCCTCATAGTGCGGAGTCCAGAAGGTGACTTGACTTTGTATTGCAAGGGGGCTGACACGATTCTTTATGAACTGCTTCATTCATCCTGCGACTCTCTCAAAGAGGAGACCACAGAACACCTGAATGTAAGTGTTTCCTTCTGCACAACATCTCTGCCTTTGACGGTGTCGTGGTTTAACCCTGGTCGGCAGCTAAGCACCACACAGCCACTCATCACCTTCCCTGCCCTGTGGTGGGATGGGGGAGAAAATTGGAAAAAAAAGAGTAAAACCCATGGGTTGAGATAAAGACAGTGTAATAGGACAGCAGAGGAAGAGAAAATAATAATGATAATAATAATGATAAAAGAATATACAAAACAAGTGGTGCACAATGCAGCCACTCACCACCTGCTGGCCAATGCCCAGACAGTTCCTGAGCAGTGATTGCGGCTCCCCGGCCATCTCCCCCCAGTTTCTATACTGAGCATGATGTCATATGGTATGGAATAGCCCTTTGGGCAGTTTGGGTCAGCTGTCCTGGCTGTGCCCCTCCCAGCTTCTTGTGCACTTGGCAGAGCATGGAAAGCTGAAAAGTCCTTGACTAGTATAAGCACTGCTTAGCAAGAACTAAAACATAAGTGTGTTATCAGCATTCTTCTCATACGAAATCCAAAACACAGCACTACACCAGCTACTAGGAAGAAAATTAACTCTATCCCAGCCAAAACCAGGACAGATGGTTTCCTTTTCTCCAGGTGTGGAAACATACTTTGTATTGAGACAAAAAACAGCTTCCAGAAGCAGCACCCAAGCACTATTTTTTTCAGTTTTGGTTTTGGTTTTGTGGGGAATGGAGAGAGAAATAAATTTATAAAACCTTAGGTCTCAACTCAGTTGCCTAAGCATGGGCACCAGGTGCCATTTGAACTGCTCTAAGATATCCAGGACATCTGGACATGGATGGCAAATACAATGCAGGACGTTCAGAAGACCTGTATTCCTCTGGAGTAGGAGCTGGAAGCCAGGCAGGATAGGTGAAACACCTGAAATGGCACAACTCATCTGTATTTTGGCAACTAAATTCCATCCACATCTGCTATTACTCCACAATGCATGCACCTGCTGCACTCAAACATGCCTTGGATCAGAATAACTCAGGTGATCAGTAATGGGCCACAGGGCCATTTACCTTCTTGAATACAATTCAGATCTGCAATGATTGTGATCCCAGGGGTGTCAGTCAGAAGGGACCAGGCAGGCACTGGGACATACCTCCCCTTATTCCAGATCATACAGGGGCCTATTGACTGGGCAGCAAGGAAAATGCATCACTCAAACTTGTGGGCTTTTATATTGTTGATGGAGTGCACTGGGAGATGGCTACTCACTCAAGTATATCTTCTGGCCAATATTTACTCCCCCTTGTGATGCCAGATCCTGCTGGTACAGTGCAGAGCACCATGTAACAGAAAGTTTTGCCAGAGGGGTTGTGCAATAGCACAAACATCTCTGCTCACTGCCTTGGGGAGTCAGAGAAAGTTGCTGGTGAGGGAGAGGGCAGAGACAGATGTAGCCTGTTCCTGATGTACCTTTACTTCAAGCCTGGGGGAACACCTCCATTTTGACCAAGGGATCTCCGTTATTCGACCAAACACTGAGCACCATACCATCAATCATACATCTGCAGAAAGCACAGTTACAAGGACTTGCTGAGATATCATGACTGCCTATGCTCACACTGTGCATTTCAGCCAGCATTTGTACCCTGAAAGTGTTAAGCCCAGGTCCAAAATTCAAGGCTGTGTTCAGTGTTTATTTAGGTCTCACTATTCTGAACTGTATGTTGAGAAATACAAACCTGGGAAACAACTGCCTGGTTAATGTAAAGCTTTAGAGCCAAAAAGTAGGAAAACTCTTTTGAAATTATTCTTTGTAAGGCAATGATGAAGTGGTCTGGAACTAGTTTTTAAAAAGTACCCCAAGGTTTGTGGTCTAAGTTGTGATTTTTTCACCTTTCCTCTGCAGACTTTAGGCAAGAAGCTTTTACAAATAACCATTTGCTTTCCGAGCGTCCTTTGTAAGCCCAGGTGAGCGACCATTCTCCTTTGACCTATTCTGCCTCACCACTGTCTTGCAGGAGTTTGCTGGTGAAGGTCTGAGGACACTCGTGGTGGCCTATAAAAACCTGGATGAAGACTACTTTCAGGACTGGATCAGGCGTCACCATGAAGCAAGCACTGCCTTGGAAGGACGGGAAGATAAATTGTCAGAATTATATGAAGAGATTGAAAAAGACCTAATGGTTGGTGTTTCAGGGAATCTGGGCCGAGCTCTGGGGGAGGCAGCGAGGATGGTGGTTTGTCAATAAACAGCTCAGTATGACTTCAGTAAACATTGCTCTGCAAACAGCTCAGTGGGTTGTGTGACAGGAGCAGATAGGAATATGGCAGTCCTGGGTTTTCACTGGCATCTCCATCAGGAGCCCGTAACTGCAGTGTCAGCCACCAGTGCAGGGAAATGGTTTTATTTTAACTCACGTGGGTGTCAGAGTAGCTTTCTCGTGATGAAGTGACATACCAGAGCCTAAGGGAGATGACGTGGACACAAATATTTCATAGCTATCCTTTGTGTGTGCAAATGGCTGATCTATTTATTTTCCTGTCTTTGAAATAGCAGGCATAATGAATAATCCCCAATGCCCCTCCATTTCAGACAGTGTCTTCTTTGTTCTTGCAGCCTTGGGCAGGATGGGGAGGTGATGTCCATGAATATGTTTGTTTCAATTTGAAATAGGGCTATACTCTGATCTTCAAGTCATTCTTCTCTCCCTGAGTGTTGTTACAGCTTTTGAATGCCCTGGGGGTGGGGGTGGGGTTCTGCCTGTGTTTTAGAGCCGGTGAATAATGAATGAAAAGGATGTGTGGAATCTGAAGGGAAGCAACTGAGCTTTTCAACTTGCAGCAGTGCTTTCCTGAAATCTCAGAAATCCTGGGAGCCGCACTGTTGCTCCTTCCATTAGCTGTACGCTCAGGATGCCAGCAGGGCCTGGGAAGAAGCAAGTGTGAGCCAAGGAGATGCTGACCTCTGGAAGCTGCATAGTCCATGGGGCAGAGCCTACTGCTCATCTAGAGGAGTGGAAAATGCTGATCCTCCAGTCCAGAGAATACGTTGTGCAAACACTCTGTGGGTCATGTTCAAAGCAGGAAAGACATGGAGGTTTAGAGAGAAGTTCCTTCAGAGCTGTTGTCTACATGGATAACACTTATAGCTGATGAATGATGAACATCCCAGGAAGCCAAAAGGGATCTTGGGCTTAAAGCCAAACTCTGAATTTAGCCTCCCAACAGCAGGATGTAGGTGGTAGCAGATGCTGCCTAAACCTGAGCTAGCAATGAAACCTTCATGTCCCTTTGACAATAGGTTAAAGCCACCAAATATCTCCAAAATGCAGAAAAAGCAATAGCTTTAAAATAATTAAGGTTTGTGTCCTGAGCAATCTGTGGTTTAGTTGTGTGACAGTGTGGAGCAGGGGTGGGGACACGTCTGTTATGGGCTGGAGAAGATGTTTAGCAGCCGTATGACAGCTGCAGTACAATATAGCTGGGAGTGAGCTCCACACTAGAGGATGCATATGGAGGTTTGGGGACACGGATCTACAGCTGTCTTTGTCCCTCAGTTAAAGCTCTATCTGCTGTGAAGGGGACACGGAGGAACACAGACCTGTAGGTCTGCAAACATTGGCAAATAATTTCATGCATGTTCATGATCCATCTGAGCCTGGGGGATTAGAGACTAGAATATCTGCAGGATCAGGGCTCTACTCTGTACAGGAAATTTGCTGAGGAAGAATGAACAACCTTACAACATTATTCCTGGATTTCATTTGTGTTTGGTTGAGTAATTACCTGGAGGTCTAATGCTTTCTACTTTGCTAGCAATGGGAAGACTTACCAGTTCCCTGACATTTTCTGTTAAGCTGCTAGGTGCCACAGCGATTGAGGACAAGTTACAAGACGGAGTCCCACAGACAATTGAGACTCTTGGCAAAGCCAGCATTAAGATATGGGTTCTCACTGGAGACAAGCAAGGTAAAGGGACTACAGCTTTGGATGTTTCTCTTCTCTCCCACCAGTGGGATGGTTCTGCTAAGACCCATGTTCTCATTCTTTCTCCTTTGAATCATAGAATAGAATCATAGAATCGTTTAGGTTGGAAAAGACCTTTAAGATCAAGTCCAACCATTAACCTAACACTACCAAATCCACCACTAAACCAATTAAGGGTAGAGTAATAATTAATTTCATGTTACCTGGCTTGGTAGCTGGATTCCTTTTTAATGAAAGTAGAACTAGAATAGAATCACCAAGGTTGGAAAGGTCCTCTAAGATCACCAGTCCAACCATCAACCCAACAGCACCATGCCCACTAAACCATGTCCCAGTGCCACGTCTACCCATTTTTTTGAACACCTCCAGGGATGGTGACTTCACCAACTCTCTGGGCAGGCTGTTCCAATGCTTGAAGACTGCACAGAAGACAAACTTACAGCTGGCTTTGCTTCATTGCCAGCTAGGCAAAACTCCACTTATCTGGAATTAGATGAGATAACTGTAGCTAGTGCCTGTCCTTAATTCCTGTCCTGAGGCTGGAAGCAATGTGAAGGCAGCATCCTTTGCCTTTGGAGAGGTGAAAATGAGCATCCCATAGTCCCTGTGTCATATGCTGTGAAAAGGTGTCACTTTAGTACAGTTGACCATCCTGGTGAAGAAGGCAGAAAAAATCTTGTCCTGCTTTCCAGGAACTTTAATGCTAAAATGGATGTTGAGTCTGGTTTAGTTTGGTCCTGGCATTAATGATCCAGAATAGAAATGGAGGAAACATAGGCTTTTGGAGAAAGCATTAAGTTGGAAAGAGCGTTAAATAGACTCCAATTAATTCTTTTGGAGAAATAGTAACCTCACTGAAACACTGGCGTTTCAGGGAGGCCAAAAGTGGTTGCAAATAATTTCATCCAAGAAAGCAGCAGAGAATTTTTGAGAAAAAATAAACATTTCATTTTATCATGTTCCAAATGTAATCGTTTTGCTTACTGTGGTGGGTTGACCCTGGCAGGATGCCAGGTGCCCACCAAAGCTGCTTTATCATTCCCCTCCTCAGCTGGACAGGGGACAGAAAATACAACAAAAAGCTCGTGGGTCAAGATAAGGATAGGGAGAGATCCCTTACCAATTACCATCATGGGCAAAACAGACTCGGGGAAATTAACTCCAAAAAAAATTTTTTTAATCAACATGATAATGTTTTTTATTGCTCCAAGTATGTTGGCCAAAGGGTGTTTTAAGCTTTTTCATTTTGGTAGAATTATTTTTTTCTGTGGCCTTGTGAAGAAGCCCAATTAGGGGAGATCTGCTGCTATGTGCATCAAGGTGACTCTTCTGGCTCTCTTAAACTATTGACTCTGAAAGGCTCACAGCCCTTTTGAGTGAGAAGGAGAGCTTTTGGCATGTGTGTAAAGAGGACACAGAGACAGTGGGTGAGTTTGAGGCTGCTAAGATGGGTCAACTTCCTTGTTTCTCTTTCCCAGAGACAGCAATGAATATTGGTTACTCCTGCAACTTGCTGCATGATGACATGGAAGATGTTTTCATTATTGAAGGCAGCACATCTGATGATGTACTTAATGAGCTGAGGTAAATGGCTGAAATAAACAGCTTTGTTGCTGTGCACTGGGGCTATTTGTAATTTGTATTATTCCACCTTTTTTTTCCTGTGGGCTTTACTCGGTGCAGTTCATTCAGGGACCTTAGATAAGGGTTGGCTGGCTCCCTGGAAGATCCAGCAGCTAAACACAATGCAGAAATCTCCTCTGAGGGTAAACTCTGAAGCTTCTTGATCCAAGAGGTCAAATCTATATAAATGTATAAGAAAGCAGAGTCAGGTAGGCAATATCAGCTGACATTCAACAAGTGATCTGGAGCCACAAAACCTTTGGCTCCAGGCTTGAGCTGCAGTGTTGCTCTACCACTACTGCCGTTCATCCACATTCACAGACTCATAGAAGCATAGAATCATGGAATCGTCTAGTTTGGAAAAGACCTTTAAGATAATCACGTCCAACCATTAACCGAGCACTGCCAAGTCCACCACTAAACCATGTCCCAGAGCACCACATCTACACATCTTCTAAATACCTCCAGGGATGAGGACTCAACCACGTCCCTTGGAAGTCCTTTGTCTGGATACGGTCCTTTTCTAGCATTATGTAGAAATCTACCTTCCTCCCTAGCATCCTCAGTAGACACAAGTTCTTAGGTATAGGTGGAAAATGGGAAAGTTTTTCAGTCCTTTTCTCTTGAAATAGGTGGTTGCCAGGCAATATGCACAGAAAATTGGGATGCCCTTTGGGATACTGACCTTTATGACACTCAGATGATTTGTTTGACTTTAAATCAGCACAAGTTTAGTACACACTTTTTAGAGTTTCAGAAGTATGTGGATGATCTGCACCAACAGCAGGAGCTAAACTGGGCATGTTGTTGTAGGGATGCAGGGAAAATTGAAATAAACTATCAAAGTGTAGCATCGATTTTTTATTTTCATAAAGTTGATTTAATAAAACACATATATCTGTATAAGCTTTTCATTATTATTTTGGATTCTTTTTTAGGAATGCAAGGAAAAAGATGAAGCCAGACTCCTTTCTGGACAGTGATGAGATCAACATTCAGTTTGAAAAATCTTCAAAAAAAACAACAGTTCTACCCGATGAGCAAGCAAATGGAGTGTACGGTCTGGTTATCACTGGCCACAGCCTGGTAAGGAAGGTTCAGAGTCATGGTAGGGGCTGTTCTCTGAAGAATTTAATGTGATAGGGACATAATGGAAGTCTGAAAATGCTTTAAAAATTTAGCTCTAGAGGACTGTTTGGGGTTTTTTTTCCTAATTGAAGATTAGGTTCAGTGATTATCTGAGACATCAAAGGTGATATACAAGGTTTCAGAAGACTGGAGCCGGGAAGAGTAGGCCCTGATGTTCAGCAAACCAGAGGGGTAGAGTAGCTGGATCAATTTTCATTTCCAGAAAGACACTAGAAAAATATTCAGGCAGTTTATGGATGCAGCAATAAGATAAGATAACATCAGATGTGGGTTTCAAGTATGCCAAGAACATGTTCTACTAAATATATCTGATAACAGATATATTTAACAGATAGGATACATATCTTATAACTTAACTAATAAATTGTTTGATGCTCTCTCCCATGACGTTCTTCCAAGCAAACTGAAGTAATACAGTCTAGATGAAATTGTTAAGTGACCGATGCAAGACTGCTTGGAAAGTACGGCTCTTAAGGGCTCACTGTTGATCTAAAACAGTTAAGTGGCATCTGCAGGGGGCTATCCCACATCTATTTGATATTCAGTGTTTGCATTAACTGCTTAAAAACACAGCAGGTAACACCAAGATTGGAGAAACTGCAGGTATGATGGAGTTTAAGATTAGATTTGAAAACAATTTTAACAAATTGAAGAAATACTTTGGGGTGTGGTTGACACGCCAGAAGGATGAGATGTCATCCAAAG